AGGAGAAAGACTTTACCTATTTATTAGGCGAAAAAAAAAAAGAAGAAGAAGATTACAACTCTATGGGGTCTACAGGAGCTGGGGCTACCTATCAAACTTATAGTCAACTTATATCACCAGCATTTTTTTGTGCTTCACAACTACCGGACAAAACAATACCATTGACGGCATTTTCGAGTGGTAAGTATTTTGTTAGAATATTTGATTATATTTTTTAAATTTTTCTACTGTTTTTTTTTCTTGTTTTTAGTTGTTTTTAAAAAAGTTGGGAAGTAAAGAGAGAAAAAAAAAGAAAGGGATGCTGTCTTTGCAAATATTAATTTCTTGTTTATTTATATTTAGTGGGGAGGGGGTGGGGAGGTGGGGAGATCTTTGGTATGTCTTTTATCTTTTGTTTGTTGTTATTAGTTGTTAAAAACAAAAAAGGGCAGTTTTTTTTCTTTTTTTTGCTTTTTGCTTAGTTTACATAATTTATTTTTGTTTCAGTTAAAAATTTAGCTTTTTTTTTTCTTTACACACACTTTTTTTTTTCTTTTCTGCTTACTTACTTTTGTTTGGTTTTATTCTGTTTTGTCGTTTTTTTTTTTTTGCCTTCTTTCAAAAAGAATGTTAATTCTCAATAATACTGTTGTCAATGGTTTCATCCTTGGTTTTGCTTCTTTTTTTTTTTTTTTTCATCTTTCATCTTTTCTCGTTCTTCCTTTTTTTGTTATTCTGATATTTTGCACATTGTTAGTGGAAGAAAAGCAGCAGTGCTGATGGTAGTAATATTATATCAATTGGTATCAGTAAAACTTTACTGTATCAACAATCGACAATTATTATTCTAAATGTTGCTTAGTTATTAATTATATTGCACTGATAATCAGCTGTCTGTATTGGGGAGACGTTGTTAATTTATTAAATATTTTAACTACTTTAGTGGCATTGTATTTCAGGGGAGGAAAAAAAAAAGAAGAAAGGGAAAACTTATAATGATTTTGGATACTATAAAAAAAAAGTGAAAGAAAGCAGAATAAAAAAAAAGTGCAAAGGAAAAAAAAAGTAAAGTCAAAACTGAAAATGTTAAGAAAAAGGAAGTTTTTTTTGTTGTTGTTTCTTTATTGTTTAGCAATTATTTGAAATTTTCTGACTTCAAAAAAAAAAATCATCATTTAACTTATTGAATTACTTACTGATTTACAACAGAGATTGCTGCAGCTTAAAACTTCTTCAACATTTTGCTTGTTTCATCAAACTTTGTGCTGTCGTCGTCGTCTTCTGATGATGATAATTTGGTTGCTAACACTAAAAGCTACTATTCTTTATTCTTTTTTTTATTTTTTTTCATGTTGTCATACTGATTGTTTTCATGCTTTTTTTTTTTCACTTTTAAACTAAGACTTTTTCAGTATTTATAAAAACTGAAAGATGAACTAGAAAAAAAAAAGTAGAGAAAAAAGAGTTTTAAATAAGCAATTAGAGTGGAAAAAAAAAGGAAAGAAGAAAGAATGAATTTTGATTGTAAGAAATTTTTTTTATTTTTCAGGAAAAAGTATATTATAGTTGCATCTTTGTATAGTCATTTTTGACCGAAATTTTATTACTGATTAACGCTGTATTAATAATAATAATAATACTGAAAAATAGCATTTGGGAAACAATTTTATCGTTTTATTGTTCAACAAATTTTTCAGCAACTTTTTTTTTTTGTTTTTTGCTAAAAGTTTGAAGATTTGCGGTTTTTTTTCATTACAAAATTGATGATTTTGCAATGTCATTAAAACATAAAGGTTGAAAGAATGATGGAAGGAGAGTAACTAAATGTAGGTGGTGGTGGTGATGGTAGACGATATGAGGTTGAAGAAAGCAAAAAAAAAAAAAACTATGTTAGATTATATTACATCTATAAGTTTTGTTTTTTTTTTTTATTTTTTCTACTGATTAGCAAAAAAAAAAATTTGATTTATACTATTGAAACAGTTAAATGTTTGTTGTATTAATTTTTAAGCTGAACAATGTTTTTGTATAATATATTGTAGTTGTAATTGTATTTTATAACTGTACAATATGATTGATGGCAAAATTACAGTTGTGATGTTTGATCGTTGATAATACTATCCAAAATTAAAATGTCAATTTTAGAAGTTTTAATTTACAACAACAAAAAAAAATATTTGCTTCTTGAAAAAAAAAAAAAAAAACATAATCTTCGAAAGACAATCCCCACTGATATTTACTGATACGTCAAATGAAATCATCTGAAACGTTTAGAAAAAAACAAAAAAAAACTGAAGAAAAAAACAATTTTTTTTTCTTTCATTATTATTCATAGAAACGTTACATAACTTTTTTTTTTTTGGTTTTTTGTTTAATACTCCTAAAGATTAGTGAAATTTCAGGGTTGTCCCTAACGAAATCTTTGCACTCTCCAGCAGAAATCTATAATCTTCGAAAAAAATATATAATAACGGGAGTAAGCATAAAAGCAACAACAAATAATGACTATATTTTTGGTGTTGAATAAATAATTTAAAAGGTTAAAATTGCAAAAAAAAAACTTAACAAACTTTCTTCTCTTTAACCATAATTTCTTTCATTTCTTCTTCTTTTTCTTTTCTTTTTTTTAGAGAAGGGGACGAGAAGAGGCAAACGGAGGGGAAAAAAGCTTTTTTTCCATAATCAATGTGTAAGGTTTTTTTTTATCTTTTGCTGTTATTGTTGTTTTGATTTACACACACAGTAAATTAAACGACAACAATTCAAATTTTTTTGATTATTTGAATATTAAATTTAAAAAAAAACACTAAACAATGGCTATCAATAAAAAATAAACTGAAAAGAATATATATTAAAAAAATTTTTTTTTTCCTATCTGATTTTTACTCTTTATTTTTTTTTTTTTTGCTCTTATAAACCATCTGAAAGAAAAAAAAAAAAGAAGTTTATTTACTTTGTTCAATGACTTTCATTGAAGATCAAACGAGAGGAATACGATGTGTAACGTAGTTAATAAATGCATTTCATATATATATATATATATATATATATATATATAT